GAGACTGTGCTGGGTAGAAGCACATTTGGGATTGGGGAGTAAGAGAAAGGACATGTGTAGCGCTAACTCAGGTTTCCCGGCTAGTCCTGAGCAGCTGTGGGGTCCTTCAACTGTTCTGGGATTCTATTTCTTTCTTTAACTTAGGAATTGTTTAAGAGACTTTCTAACATTCTCCCACAAATTAGTAATGATGATAATGTCAGTAAGAACAAGCATTTATTGTTTGCTCTATTATTATGATTTGCTCTATTTACTATTATTTGTTTTATTTATGTAACACTCATTCAGCCTTAAAATAATCTTATGAGGGAAGCAAAACTGTTGTCATCTGCATAAGATATGATTGTTTACATAGAAAATTTCAAAACTTTATAAGTATTAGAAATAATAAAATTTGGTGAAGATGTAATAAATGTCCATACATCAAAGAACTGGGAAGAATAAAGAAATACCATGGAAATATAAAAAACATCAGCTCCCTGGGAATAAATGTAGCAATATAAGTACAAGATCCTTAAAAGGAAAAATATCAAACTTCACTAAGATATATTAAAGAAGACCTAACTAAATAGAGAGATAGATGATGCTCATGGATAATATGATTTAATATCATAATGTAATCTGTACATTCAGTATAATTGTCAAGTCCCCATACTTTTTTTAAAAAATAGAACCTGAAAAATGATTTTAAATTTATTTGAAAGAGTAAAGGACTGAAAATAGCCAAGACATTTCTGTAAAAGTAGTGAGGGGGAACTTAAGATTCTTAGACATCTGGACTTTACGAAGCTGGAGTAATTAAGACATCATAATCTTGGTATATGGACAGAAAAACTGACTATGAAATAAGACTGAGATCACAAGAAAAGAGTCATGTACAGAAAGAATTTTCTATGTGACAGAGAATAAAGGAGCTCTGTTAGGAGGAGAAGACAAATCAATAAATGAAAGTGGAAAAAATAGTTATCCACATGGAAAAAAATGAACTTGGCAATCTCTGTCAAACTACTTCTGAAAAATAACCCGAAAAATCATTAAGGAATTGAGTATCAAAAGCAAACTTTAAAATTCATAGTACATAATACAAGTAACTATCTTTTATACCTGCCAGTAGCAAAGATTTTCTTAAACAAGCATATAAAATTAGCTATAAAATGATAAATTTAGCTATATTAAAATCAAGAACTTTTGTTGACCAAGAGTCACCTTCCAAAAGTGAAAAACCAGAGTAGAAACTGGAACACAATATTCGTAATATCAACCATGACAATTTAGTATCAATAGTAGATATAGAACTGCTATAAATCAATTTTTTAAAAGCACAAACCACCTAGCATATTAATGAGAAAAAACTCATCAACAGGTATGTCATAGAACAGGAAACATAAGCCCGATAAATCTATGATGAAATTCAAAAAGAAAAATACAAATCATGAGATGAGATAATATTGTAACACTGTTCAATTCACAAAAAGTAAAACTCTAACACTATTAAGTGTTGGAGAGGATGAAACTTGTGGCATTGTAGATGAGCGCACTTTAGGAAATAGTTGGATGTTATCACCTTAGGTTGAATTTTCATCCATCCTCTGACATGGTTCCCTTTAAAGGTTCATATCCAAGAAATTGCTTATATTTATATAACAGCAGATGTGCACAAGTCTAAACACAACAGCACTGCTCTAGCCAACACAAATCTGGACCCCTCCTTCCAAATGCCCCTTGGCAGGGCACTTGCCAACCACGATGGTATATTCACTCCCTATTAAGCAGTAGTCATAGCAAATGAATCACAGTGTGGTACATGGATCTCATCAAGATAACACTAAGTTCACAGATGACTTGGTGGTAGGAATTTTATGGGGACTATACCAGAGAGGAGAAATCAAACATTGTACAAAAATGAACAATGATGTAAAAAAAAAATGTAAATATTTTTAAAAGATAATACTAAGTGAGAAAGCAAGTTTCAAAAAGTTACATGCAGCATACCATTTTTATAAAATTAAAAATGATTCAGATAAAAGCATGCATACTTTCTAGAAATACATACAGAAGCAGAAACCCGAAGAAAGGAGGCAGGTAGATTAAGAACATAAGACACAAGATGACAGTGACCTCAGGAGTGGGGTGAAGCGGTCAATAAGATCGTCCATATGTGACGGGGAGTTACTGTCCTAGTCTTTACTTTCAGCTGGGGTGGTAGATTCACTAGTGGTCATGGCACTAACTAAATTGACAGATAACTGATAAAGACAGCCACACAACAGATCAGTGGTGGAGATTGTTAAAACCAAGGACTGTGATGAATCTAGTTCTTGAGCTCTGAGGGGTGGAGAGGGGGCACCCCAGGGAGCAAATCCTGTCACTGTCTACATGTCACAGGCTAGAAAACTGAGGGTCAGGCTGACTAATCAACTTGCTCCAGGCCACAGAGCTAGAAAATGGCAAAGCTGGGGCCCTGAGTCAGTGCATTGTAAATCAATAAGAACAGGGAGCCCTTGCCTTTCAAAGTAGCCTGTGGACTAGCAGGACAGGTCCCCACGGCAATCAACCCAGATCATTTATTCCCACATCAGTTCTTGAGATTGTTCATTTGCCATCAGAACCTAGAGGTCTTGAACATTCCCATGATTTGCTATACTTCTCTGCCCGCCCACTCCCCTGCCCTCCCCACACACGCTCAAAGTATTTTCTGGCATCTGTTCAAATCATTTTCATATTCTTTTTGAGCAGTTTCATTTTCTAGGACTGTTACTTCAGAACTCATTCACAGGGCGCATGTGAAAGAAATGCTGCTCAGCATTGACTAAGCATATGAGTAAGTTTTTATTTTAATAGCACCTTGTAGGAGGTATCTTCATAAATGCATGGGGGAGAGGTGGGGGAATGCTTGCAAACTGCCCACAGACAAGAGCTAAGACCCGTAAAAACAGGTTCACACACTTACACAGAATTACTCTTTTCAGTTTCGGGGTAAGCTCTGTTTTGTAATATCGTTTGCAAAAAACAAAAAGACTATGAATAATCTCCATTACACGGCAACCCTTAACAGAGTCTACCATCCCAATGAGTGAAGACTTGTGGGCCACATATACAGACAGCAAATTTACCAGGACTCCACTTTTCTGCAATGCTTGTGCAACAGAAATGCTCAGCTCGGGTTGGTTAATCAACTGGCCCCTGGCCGCAAAGCTAGTAAATAGCAAAGCTGGGACCCTAAACCGGGGTGCTAATTACACACACCCATGTGAATCAACAGGAGCTGGGAGCCCAAGCATTTTGAAGTAGCCCACAAAGCTACAGTGAGTTGAAGCACCACTACTTCGCTTTCTCTGAGCTTCAAAATGCCACACACAAAGTCACTTCCAAAGAGATTGGGCCATGATTGGACTTAGGCTGGGCTGTGAATAGCATCATCTCATAAAGGGCTGAACAGAGTCAGGAAGTGCTATTAACTATGTGCCTTTGGTCCCCAGCTGGCAAGCTCAGCCCTTCCTTGTCACTGTGGTGGCACCATCTCTAGAGGGAAAGCCAGCAAAGTCGTAGCTGAGAGCATGGTGGAGCAGGGGGTGCCATTCTGGAGTTAGGTTAACTCCCTACCACCCCAGCAGAATGAGAGCTTATGGTACATTTTGAAACCTCAAGACATGCCCTAGCTTTCTTTTTCATAACATGGCAACCCTGTGCTCTCACAGTGAGGGGGCAGGTCTGAAGACTGCTTGCCCTTCCAGGCTTATGCCCAGTAAAGGCCTGACATGCCAATTTCCAATAACTTCAATATCCTCCTCTTTCTTAGACCCTTCCAGTGACAAGGATACAGAAATCCCACATTCCCAGCCAGTGGTCATTACCAGGGGCCTCTCATCAGAACAAAGTTGGGGATCTCATCCTCACCCCTCTCTCCTCCTGCCCCCTGAAGGCCCTGGCTGCCCCATCTCTCTGAGTATCTGCAAAAAATCAGGCCAGGGACCACACAAGCTGAGCGCCATGCAGGGGAACAAGATAGACACCGCTGCCCTGTCCTACTCTTGTGGGGCAGTAAGACGGCGTGGGCACACAGCCCAGGGCAGCCTCCTATGGGGGTAGGGGCGGATTTTCCTAAGGAGCATTTACCCCATTAAAAGATCCTAAACTCTTCTTTATATATGGACTGAAGATTTATATCCTCCCCAAGATTGATATGTTAAATCCCTAGCCCTCAGCGATTTCTGACGGTGGGGCCTCTGGGAGATAATTAGGCTTAGATAAGGTTGTGAGGGTGGAGCCCCCATGTTGGAATTAGCGTCCTTCTCAGAAAAAGAAGGCACCAGAGCTCATATCCTCTCCATCACTGAGGACTCAGCAAGAAGTCAGCCATTTGCAAAACAGAACAAGAGCCCATCCAGACTCTGAGCCTGTTGCCTCCTTAATCTTGGACTTCTAGTCTGCAGAACTGTGGGAAATCAGCAACCTCTGTTTCACCCACCCGGCCAATAGTGTTGCTTAGAACAGTGGTAGCTGACTAAGATATCCAGTACCTCTCCCTCTCCCCATGGAGCGAGCAGCAGGACTCTTGGAGCACCACTGTGTGCTCGGACACATGGGGCAGGACCAGGGAGGCAGGAACTGCCTTTGTCCACATGGCTGTACTGCAGGTGGGAGTGGGCACAAGGAGATGCTTGACCACCTTTTATGAGATTTTCCACAGGCCTCTTTCTTGCTTTCTAAATAAGCCCTAATTCCACAGCAGAACTCAGCCTCTCTTCCTACACATTTCTTAGTTATCTGTATTTAACACTGCAAGTATATAATCATTATAGGTCTTCAGAAGCAACAGAAGCACATAGGTTAAAAAGTCGAACACCATCCCCCATCTCCAAATCCCATGCCCCACCAGTGCCCACAGTCAGCAGGGTAGTCATTTAGACACAGTCATTTCCTGGGCTCATCCAGTGGGTACAGCTATGACCAGAGGTATGGACATGAGGTCCTCAGCCCCTCTTATAAGAGCGGCCATGTGCACTCTGTTCTCCCAGGCTACTGCCCATGTGCTGTTAATCCAGTTGCAGCTGGCAGGAAATGGTCCACCTTGGGAGGCTGTACTCCAAGGATGCAAGTGGGATATTCTAGATGAGAGGCAGGCTTCTGAAACCCTGTGATGTTCAGGTGGCTTCCCCTCACCTTATCTGAAAGATAGAGAGCAGGACTACTTGTGCATCTTCAATGGTGCATTTATTTTCAGTGTAAGCTCCAATAATATTCGGAGGATTGTTCTAAAAGTAGCAGATCTTTCATCTCAAAGTCACTGATGATGGGTGTATTGCTTACTACACCAGAATAATTCTTTGGTGAAAACTGGATGATCTTGTTTTAGAATAAATGATTTGTTGTAAAGATTACAGGCAGCAAAAGTTAGAACAACTGCACAACAATCACCAAAAGCACAAGAGTAAGGAAAGAACATGAGCAATGAGATTTCTAAAAAATAGGACGTCAGAGGTCTTTACCTACCCAGCCTCAAAACAGAAAACAGTCCACTAGTATTCCCTACACTGACCCCCACCGCTGTGAAATTATGAGATCTTCATTTTGCAATCAGAGAAGTTTTGCATTATTTTAAAAGTTGCAACTCTCATGATTCAAAGTCATGCAAAATAGGATCATATATTAGTTTAGATGGCAGCCTTACTCATTCTCTTTGGTTGCCAAGATCTCCATCTTTAGACTGCGTGCCCCCTCCTCAATCAGAATGCCAGTTATTTAGGATGTCCCAGTGGTCTCCAAGTCTCACCCCAAATGGGTGAAGCATGTGACCATCACCACCCACCCCTGCCTGTCGCACACCTGGAGGGTTGCACACCAGATTCCTCACTTCTGCTGCTTCGGCACCTGCCCACCAGGTTAGCTGTGGACCTGCAAGTCACTCAGCTTACAGACCCTCCACCACCGTGGGCAGTAAACTGCCCTAACTTGCTCTAATTGCCTCCCAGGCCTCAGCTATGACTTGGGGCCTGCTTGGGGTCACCCTTACCCTGCACCTTCCCCCTACTCTCCAAAAATACTCTCCAACTCTGAACCTTTCTTAGTTACTGTGGAACATGCTACAGACCATTGAGGTTTAGTTGTTTCTCTTCATTTAATACATTCATCTTCATTTGCATCTTTCCAGTAAAACTTTCCATAGACAACAATGAGTCATGAGAAATTCTTCGGGGTGAATGGCACCACTTGTGGAGGTGGCTGCCCATGCTTCACCAGCTCCGGCTAGCTGGCCAAGCACCTGGCGGCACCCCAAATTTCTTGCTGTGTGAGTCATTTGTGCAAATTTAGGCTAAGGCCAGGGTGTCTTGTTAACAGTGCTGAGGAACAGAGGAACTGGAAGAGCCAGCAATATGGTTTAGGATGCTGAGCCTGGGGTGGGGTGAAAGTGGTGATGTGGGGTTGGGGTATGAGGAAGAGAAGAAGAAAAGGGCAAAGACAAAAGGAGATGGTGAGAGATGGGGTGTATGTGAAGCTGAAGAGGGAAAAGGGCTTCTGAAGAGAACCTTTGAGAACTGGAGCAGCAGGTTGTCAAGAAAAAGCTGTCAAGGGGAGACCTGGGCAGCTGAGTGTCACCCCATGATTGAGATGATTTATATCATCCTGAGGAGGCACTCAGGGGGTCTGAGTTTGCGTAATGAATAGTCCCTCCCAGCCATACAGTTCCAGGATCCATCCCCACGCAGAGAACCTGGGCCATCGGGTAAGTGTCCACTTTTCATCAGGCCAACTACACCTTGGCATCTTCTCAGAACCAGCATTCACATTTTAGAATCATTTTGATAAAACCTGCCCTAACCACAGTGTCAGGGGGAAATGGCATCTTGTGGTAAGCAAAACCCTGCTGCAACCCTCCCCCTAAACTGACAAAACGTATCCTTTCATCTGTCAGTACCACTGTTAGCACTTTTTTTTTTTTTAATAACATGGTGAAGAGCCCTCCACACCAATGAATGAATGAAAAGAAGTATAAATCAGCACTTCCTTTAAAAGTCATGTTATTGAACTTCAAAGATATTATTGCAAATGATGGTGTCTCAGAGGGGCTGGGGAGCACCCTGCATCACAGTGGAAGACTCCTGGGCAGTGTTCCCTAGCTCACAGCTGCAAGGGCTGGCACAAGAGAACTTTCTCTCCAGGACCACCATGGGAGGTAGTGGTCCTGCCCAGCAAAGTACAGGAGCTGACAGGAATGAGACTAGGGAGAAATGGGTCTGGACCCACTGGAAGGGAAGCTTATCTTATCAGTACTATCTAATATGATACAAGATATATGGACAATATGTGTACTACTAGCACTAGATATCAAAAATAAAAGACAAGGTGATAAAAGAATTCACATTTACATATATAACACTTCAAACATTGGTAATCTGCAAAAAAAAGTCCAGTATATCTATTAACAAAAATCTACATATAAATGAACTTTCAAAGTCCAAAACCGGGCCTCCCCGGTGGCGCAGCGGTTGAGCGCTGGGTTGTGAAGCTGCCTGCAGCCTCTGCAGCGCCGGTTCGATCCCCGGCTGCTCCCCGGCCACCAGAGGAGGGTCCCACCTGGCGCACAGACCTCTCCTGCCGCCTGCTGCTCCCCTGCTGCTCCCCTCTGGCTCTGGTGAATTCTATCACCCTCCCGTACTTCTCGCACTTCTGACTGTACCCAGTGCTTGTATAAATAAATAAATAAATCTAAAAAAAAAAACCAAAGTCCAAAACCATGTTTTTCAAAGGTCAACTATATATTATGTCTTAATTGTATGCCCCTTTGCCCTACTAGGAACTAAGTTCTCTGGCACACACACAGATCAACACCCCACATGGCATTACCAACATTAGGAGGCGGGTGTGTCCATCTCCCACAACTCCATGCTGCCAGTGACCATCACCCCAAGTTGGAGATGGAGACTCCGGTGTGCCTGCGACGGGTATTCAAACTTAGCTCTCACTGAGTGATACTGATGAGTGGGGATTTCACAGGGTCTAAGGGCAACCACGGCTCCTCCCAAACTATGTAAGAATCTCCCCTCAAGCTGCCCATCACCACTCAATCACTCAGGCCTCTGTCTCCCAACCACCTCCATCACCCCCACTCACCTCCAACCACCTCATCCTGCAAAGCATGCAAATCTCAAAGATGGGGGTAGCAGGTAACAAATCATTTTTTTTTCACATTCATAGTTCCTCCAGCTGCATACCTTAGCATGTACTAGGAAAGAAAGACAGGGCAGGAACTGACATTAATTCATATCTGCCACACATCAGTTATGGTCCTGTGATACTTTCAACAGTCACTTCATTTAATCCTCACAGCAAACTTTTGGTATATATGACCCATGACTTTACAGACAAGGAAGCCAAGACACACACATAAAAGTAGAGTGCAGAGCTGGGGGCCACGCCCAGGGCCCTGTGGTTTCAGAGCCATCTGCTTCCCTTCCGGTAAGGAGGCTGTAGCAGCAACCCACAGAGAGTGTGGCCTGAGTTAGGAGGGTGGCCCCCAGAAAATACCCAGTGTGAGCCTTACCTCTAGCAAGCATCCAGAATATGCAGGAGGAGTCCAGGGTGTCTCTAGGCACCCCTTGTGTCTAAGGAAATGCTCACTGCCAGCTTCTCTCCAGCTGATTGGGACACACTGAGGGAACACACACAGACAAAGAGAACACACAGGGGACCCACAATGGACCCAAGGACATGGTGCTGTTCAGATGACTCTCATGGCCCACCTGACTCAAAAGCCACCCAGCGCATGGTCAGGCTGAATGTCAGAGGTCCAGCCAGCAGTGTACCCCAAGTGCCACCCTTCCCAGCAGCCATGGGAAGAGGCCATGTGGGGCAGGGCTGTCGTGACCATTACCAGCCATGAGGTCTCAGTCAAGGCCGAAAGATCTAGGAACTTCCACTTCCATGAGCAGAAAATGGTTAGATGGGCTCTGCCATGTTTACTCAGAGATCATTCTTGACGCCTTAAAGACAAACTGTGAATCCTAACAAAGGCACAAGGGCGTCACATGTTGTGGATATCATGACCTCATTACTTCAGCAGCCTCTTCAGGGCAAAGAAGAGAATTAACAGCATTGGTTGAGAAATCCTGAGCAGAAAGGAACTTCATCCTGACTCTTGCTGCTAACTAGCTGAGACTGGTTCTGAGCTCTGTTTTTCTCATGTATAAAATAAAGGCTTTTAGGCTATGTCAGTGGTTTTCGCTCTCTTACTGACAGAATGATTAGCCAGGCACTCTTCTAAGAGTTTTATGTATATTAACTCATTTAAACCTCACAAAAATCCAAGGTGACAAACACTAATATTTCCCCCATTTTTCAGATGGAGAAATTGAGGCATAGAGTGCCCTGGTTCACTCAGACAATGAGAGAAGTGAATCCAGATTAAAATGCCCTCCAAAGCCCAGCACTCTGCTTCTGGAGTCTGAGGGCCATGGACAAATGGCCCTTTTCTCAGACTTCCTGTCTTGTCTTCTTTACTCAGCAGAAACACAGGTTTCACACACTGCTCAGGACTCTCTTCGAGCTCTAAAATTCAACCATATCCCTGAATACTAATTTTTTCCAAGGAAATGAAATGAGACATGCACATGGATAGACTCAGGGGATTCCAGAGTGTTGACTTTCTGTGTGTCTGTCTGTCTGTCTGTTTTGACTCTGGAGTCCTCAAAGCACAGGCAGCACTGGTAGTCATGGGTCATAGGTCACTCTCACTGTTTCCAACAGTTGTGGTGGAGCTGTTCAAATAGCCTGGAGGGTGGGGTGAGTATATTTAAACTATGCTCAGGGAATTCTGTAACAACAGAATCAGGGGAATGCAGGGAGAAAGATTTGGGACTACAATGAGGATAAGAAAAGCTAAAGGCTGAAGAGAACTACATAATAAATACCTGAGAGAAGTGACAGGTAGTCCAATTCCTTCCAATTTGGAAAAAAACAAATTTCCCTGTTTTACTTGACAAACAGGAATGTTGTGGCCCAAAGGTCTTGTGAGAAAATGCCTCCTCAAAATGTTATAGGACAGGGAGAGGGGTAGCCCAAACCCCGCAAACCTGCCTATTCTAAATGGGTTCTGCCATCCGCCGCATCAACACAAAACATATGACGCTTTAATGGGAAGGAACTTTAATAAAAACTAGGAAACAATACAGGTAAGGCAAAGAGTCTAGTTTCTAAATGAAGCACCCAAAGTTACCCATCCCCTCGTGGGTAAAACTCCATCCATATGGGGTCGGCCCAGAGCAAGGCCCCAAAGCCTGCCACAAGTCTAAAACATCTTCCAGTGGGGACCCACAGAAAAGGGTCACAAACAATGGGACAAGCCCGGAAGGAAAAGAGCAAAATCAACATCCAGATAAAAGCTGCCATTGTCACCTCCCCACGGGTCTCACCCACATCTGTGTCACCCAGTCCACGACCAAAAGACAAGCGCAGTTTCTTCACGTGTCTCTAGGCTCCATGCACCTCCTCCAGGTCTCCTGGCTCCATCCTGCTCCTTCCTTCCTCAGTCTCTTCTGCAGCTTCTCCTCTTCCTGCTCAGCTCCACCCTCCCTTGGGTGGGGCAGGGAACCTCCCCCTTTCCTGGGGACCACCCTGTTGCAAAAAGACTATAAAGAGGGCCTCCCCTGGTGGCGCAAGCAAGTTGAGCGCAGCGCTGTGAAGCTGTCCATAGGCTCTGCAGCGCCGGTTCGATCCCGGCCGGCCGGCGAGGGTCCCACATGGCGAAGCAGACCTCTCCTGTCTCTCCCGCTGCTCCCCTTGAAACAGGGTGGTCTGCAGTGTATTTCAGTCAGCCTGCCCGTTCTGTTCCCCACTCTGTCTCTGGTGAATCCTCTCACCTCCCGCGCATCTGGTCTGTATCCCAGTTCTTGTATAAATAAATAAATAAACCTAAAAAAAAAAAACAAAAACAAAAACAAAGAGGACGGGTGATCACTGCCCAAGCGAGAGCCATCCAGAAAATAAGTGAGGGGCACTCCAGACTCTAAGCTGGATTGCCACAGTAATTCTTCTATTTTCCTTTAATTTCTGTCTACACTCCCTCCCCCATAGGTCCCTTGAAAACAATTCTACCATGATGCTCCTCCTACTGTTATCTACTTGCTGCTGCCCCAGGGGAACATGCTTTTATCTAGCAGAGGAGTTAACCAGAGTAAACAGGTAACATCCTGCCTAAGAAAACCAGACTTAGAGAAAAGTCTGTTCCACACCCCCCCCCCTCAAGAGAATCTTTTCTATGGGCCTTGCACACTCAGTTTCATTGTTAAATTTGTTTCTTCTCTTTTAGAGGCCATTAAACTCAAATTCTTCCTCCAAAAGGGACAAACACCCACCCCTTGGACTCTGCCTACACCTCCTCCCAGAACTAACAAGAGCAATCAATCACCAGCTCAGGGGCCAGCCTTAGAGAGACCACACCCCAGGCCCTTACATTGGGAGAGCTCTATGCCCCACTCCAGCCTGAAGCAGTTATGGGAGACTGACCTCCCTCTCTCAACTCCCCAAATGTTTTCAGGCCAGATGAAACCTTAGAGTAGAAAATTTAGGATGGAAGTTTCATAAGTCCGGAAACCAGAGGTGTGGGTAAAAATGATTAAACCATTGTTAAACCAGCTGTAGAAGTCTCACAAGTCCAGGAACCAGAGGTGGGGGCAGAGAGGACTATCAGTGGTTGTAGAAAGGAAACCCAATCCAAACCCAAACTGATAAAATCCACAAAGTGATAAAATTCCACCAGAGAACAGTATAGAAGGCCACCCCTGCCCTTTGAAAATGCAGCACTTGCCCTTTAAGACTGGTGCCCAGTTGTGTCTCTTCAAGTGTCTCTTTTTCTTAATAAACTTGCTATGGCGGGTGACAGGAGATTTTGTTGAATTCTTTCACAGAGAAATACAAGGATCCCATCAACCCCATCAACAGGGAGAGGGGCAGATTATTTGCCCGGGTTGGGAGAATGGAGCAGAAAAGCAGAGGGGCATGGGCTGGGTATAGTGAGGAGAGCCAAGCTCCAGAGAAGCTGCAGGAGTAGGGGCAGCCGAGGAGCATCTCTAGTTTAAACCAGTGATGTGGTGGGCTAAGCTGGCGTCCACTTACACAGTGCTTAAGCAGTGTGATGACAGGACTGCACTCATTTTTAATTCAAGAAATAAACCAAGAGCATACAAGCAGCAGTGCCCTGGTGAATGCCTAACACCCAGCATCCAAATAAAGAATTGTTTTATTTGATTTATTACTACAATATTGTTATTTATAGGATATTACACACACACACACACACACACACACACACATACACACATATTCAGATTGACCAAATGTTTCTCAATTACAATTCCTGTCTCTGGCTCCTAGCTCCAGCAGAATTTCTCAAGCAGTGAGGTGTCTATTGTTATGTTAATGAAGGTTGCCAGGGAAACTAGCCTGAATAGAGGGTGATGCTTTTCAGTCCCACCCTCTGATTTCCTGAGATGGGAGAAAAGCTAGAGTGGAGTTCAATAGTTAATGATTTCATCACTCCTACTTATGAAATGAAACCTCCTTCAAAGCCAGAGTGGAAGGACCTCCAGACTGGTGGAAATGTGAGGATTTGGAGGAGAATGGCACATCTGGACAGGACAAAGAAGCTCTGCACCTTCCCCCCATATCTTCCCTATGCCTTTTTCCACCTGGGTGATTGGTATCCTTCAGTGACCTTTATAATAAACCCGTGAGTAAACAGATCCCCTGAGGTCTGTGTGCTGTTCTAGCAAATTAATAGCAAGTTATGAGGTGTCTAGAAACTTCTGATTTATAGCCAGTTGGTCAGAAGCACAGATAATAATCTGTACTTATGATGGGCACCTGAAGTTTGAGGAGGAGTCTTGGGAACCTCCAATAGGTAACTAGTCAGTTAAAAGCCCAGGTAACCTTGTGGGACTTGTCTAGGACTTGCAAGCAGCATCTGAAGTTGGGGGTAGGGGAGAATGATCTTGGAAGATTGAGCCCATTCCCTGTGGAAACCAATGCTATCTCCAGGCAAATAGTGGCTCTCCTCACCATACCCAGCCCATGCTCTTCCACTGCTCTGCTTCAATCCCCTGCTGGTGGCTGAGAATTGCTTGTTGGTATAGGAAATTCTACCCATATCCAGGCTGGAAACTGAGTTGCTGGAAACCACCCACTGAAAAATAAAACTTGCTGATTTCCAAGGTGCAAATACTCCTGCTATGGCCCATATCAAGCTACAGATATAACAGTAACACTGAACTCAGAATTGAGAAGAAACATACAGCTTACACCAGCCTACAGTATAGTATCCCCACCTTGTATTGTTCGATACAATAGATGTAATTTAAAAAGCGCACTTAATTGTAAGCTGTAGTAAAATAATTAGAAAGCGGTAAGTTTTAGGTTCATTACCATTCATTAACTTTGCTTCTGATATAATTTATTTATTCAAAGGTTTATATAATTTTTAATAATGATGTGGTTAACAACCAGATCACAAAATTCCTGAACTCTTTGAGTCAGTTCTGCTGAGCTAATAATGTCACTTCACATACTCCAACTGGGTATCTGCTGAGGAGGGGAGAGGGGGTGCAGCTCGGTCCAGGAGAGCCTGCCCAGGGCTCTGCCACGCCTCCACAG